GCAGGAATAAGGTTTGTCTACCAGTGACAGAGCAGCAACATTGAATAAAACAGGCAAGTGATCCGCAAACTGAGAGTCACATATTTCGGTAATAGAAACAGGCAGTCCATGAAAGATCACAAGGTCCAATGTGTGTCCGCGCTCATGTGTAGGGCCATGCACTGACTGAGTGAGGTTAAAAGAGTCAATAATATTTAAAAAGTCTTTGGCCAGTGGGTCATCAGGACAGCAGATGTGGATGTTAAAATCACCAAGTATTAAAAAAAAATTGTTGGCCACCAAAGGACTGGAACTCCAACAACTCGGTTATAAAATAAACTGGGTGGGGGGCTGTGGGGGGTTTGGAAGCAAAGTGCAAAATGTGGATGGGTCTTCAGGGTAATAAATTACCCAACTTCACACCTCACTTTAACAGAAGCGGTAACCTTATACTCTCTATTGTAAAGTTTGTCAAATTATGATACAAATCCATTGTAAAAAACATCCAGCATCCAACTTTCTGCAGTTCCTTGCCTCTGTCCATTAATGAACATTTCTCCCACCACAAACGCTCTGTCTCTTGAAAATATTTGCTTAACCAGTTGTGCATATATACAGGGTGGGCCACAGAAACGTAACTGACCTCCAGGTGGATTGTTTTGGAGGCGGGCTAATTTTCTGTGGCCCACTCTGTATATAGTGTAAGTTTAGAGGAAAGAAATGCAATACTTCATGTGAACTTAGTCATCAGGCACAATACAATTAAGACTCATTTGAAAAAAAAATTGTGGCTTAAAATAGGAACTGAATGGATTTCTTACCATTGTGTTTCCTTTCTTGTATAAGACTCTGAAATCTGCATCGTAGTATTCCTGGATATCCTTGATTTTTGAGCTCCTGTCAGCTTTAGGCAGTGAAATGTTTATTTGGATACAGTTGCCACATCCAGCCAGAGAAAGTTCTGGAGAACTTATTTTGGCTTGTCACAAGAAGAAAAAAGTCTTGTTAAATTTAGGAAATTTCTGATTCATTAGACATTTAAATGTAAATTGTTAGTATTAGCAGCCTTTTTGATACTATTTTGAGCTTGGCAGGCAAAGTTTTGACCATTATTTTTAACCAATGCATAAAATAAAGACAAAATTGTATTAAATTCAACTCATGTGGTGCTGCATCTCAGCAGAGTTTTCAGTCCTAACTGCTCATTGTGTGATGCTTCTGTTTCTATGATGAAATAATTTCCATCAAATTAAGATTTGCATATTTTGCAACCTTGGGTAGGTTTCTGGCCCTGGAATTGCAGTTAACTCTCATAGCTACTCCTGAGGGCTAATGTCTTTTAATTTAAGTGAAAGAAACTGAAAAGATTTATGTGTAACTCAAGAGGAGTTGGAAATCTTAAAGTCGGGGTAAATTAGAAATAAATGTGTTCTGAGTTTGTCATACTAGCAGTGCTTCTCAAATAATGGGGCGCGCCCCCCCCCGCGTGTGACCCCGGGAACATGCTTTTTTTGCCACAGGAAGTAGGGGGTTTTGCACCGAACAAGAGCACACAGCATAGAGCAGGAGATATGACGTGCAGTGAACAAACCCTTAAGAGACACCATGGAAAAATATTTAACAGGGAGAAGGGCGGAGAGAGACAGAGATAATGAGACAAACGTAAGTCTCCTGAAAGCTAAGACAAGGAAATATGACGAAGTGTATGTAGCACTTGGTTTCACTGTGACTACGGTGGGAAACGAGGAAAGACTTGTATGTTTACTGTGTCTAAAAATGTTGGCAGCGGACAGCATGAAGCCAAATAACATTACACCCCAATCACGCTGATGGCTTATCAAAAGATAATACACTAAAACAAGGGGGGAGACGGGGAAAGACCGGTATGTTTACTGTGTCTAAAAATGTTGGCAGCGGACAGCATGAAGCCAAATAAATTAAGGCGTCACTTAAAGACATTACACCCCAATCACGCTGATAAGCCGCTTGAGTTTTTTCAGCGAAAACGTGCCGAATATTGCCAACAATCGTCCCACTTTCTTTTTTTTTTTGTTTTCTTTAATGTTAATAGGGATACAATGTTATGCAGAGGTGTACTTATAACAATTTTATAGACAAATGATACTATTTACAGTCACTGCGAAGAGTTGGGGGGCGTGAAATGTTTACTTCTTCCTGGGGGGGGCGTAACGGGAAATAACTGAGAAGCACTGCACTACAGTAAGATGTGTTAACCACCCAGACAAATTTGAATGATTAAAAAGATCACCAAATGCATAAAATTAGCTTTCAAAATCATGAAAAAAAAGAGTATTCTCTACTCTGAAAGGCTAGGGATGTTCTGCATGTCCAGGAATGTTCATGTACAAGGACTCGTTGTTTTACCTGACCAGGTCTAACATGGCGTAAATGGAGCAACTGGAAACCTACAATCAGCCGGCCAGTGAAACACCCTGGGGCAGTGAATGATCAGCTCATCAACACTAGATTCCCCAGGAGCACCGTGCCTGTTTGTTTTGACTGCTTAAGGCCATTGTGTCTGCCACATGTAATGTGGTGCTGGCTGGCAAGAGGATTCTAATGATCCATGTCATTGCCAATGCTGCGCTACCTGTTGGGACTAATTTCACTGCTTTGGCATGGTGTTTGCCTGTAATGGGAGGGAACCTAATTAAAATTAAGACAACTCCTCTTATAGTGGAAAGTAATAAGACAATTAAATGTGGACTATTAAATATCAGATCTCTCTCATCTAAATCTCTGTTAATGAATGATTTGATAAGTGAACATCACATTGACTTATTGTGTCTTACTGAAACATGGTTACAGCAGGAAGAATATGTCAGCCTAAATGAATCCACTCCACCTAGTCACAGTAACTGTCACATCCCTCGAAACACAGGCCGAGGTGGTGGCGTGGCAGCGATCTTTGACTCAAGCCTATTAATCAACCCTAGACCTAAACATAGTTATAACTCATTTGAAAGTCTCACCCTGAGTCTCTCACACCCAAACTGGAAAACTCAAAAGCCTGTTCTGTTTGTTATTGTATACCGTCCACCTGCTCCTTATTCAGAGTTTTTAAGTGAATTCTCAGACTTTCTGTCTGATTTAGTGCTTAGTACAGATAAAATAATCATAGTAGGCGACTTTAATATTCATGTAGATGCCGACAATGACAGCCTCAACAATGCATTCTGTTCATTATTAGACTCAGTTGGCTTCTCTCAAACTAAATAAACCCACTCACTGTTTTAATCACACTCTTGATCTGGTTCTGACATATGGCATCAAAACTGAACACTTAATAGTTTTTCCCCATAACCCTCTTCTGTCTGACCATTTTCTAATAACTTTTGAATTTCCATTAATGGATTATACTCTATGTGGGAAACAATTCCACTACAGCAGATGTCCATCTGGCAATGCTGTTACCAAGTTTAAGGAAATAATTCCATCTTTATCTACTTCAGTGCCGTTTGCCAACACAGTGGAAGGAGGCCACCTTAACCTTACTCCCACACAAATCGATAATCTTGTTGATAGTACTGCAGCCTTCCTGCGTAATACACTTGATACCATTGCCCCTCTGAAAAAGAAGGTAGTGAAACAGAGGAGGCTAGCCCCGTGGTACAGCTCGCAGCTCCGCTCCCTAAAGCAGGCATCACGAAAAATGGAAAGGAGGTGGCGCTCCACTAAGTCAGAAGAGTTTTTCATAGCCTGGAAAGATAGTTTAATAACATATAAGAAAGCCCTTCATAGTGCCAGAACCACATTTTATTCATCACTGATTGAGGAAAATAAGAACAACCCCAGGTTTCTTTTCAGCACTGTAGCCAGGCTGACAAAGAGCCACAGTGCTGTTGAGCTTAACATTCCCTTAGATCTCAGCAGCAATGACTTCATGAGCTTCTTTACAAATAAAATCACAACTATTAGAGAAAAAATTGGTCGGACCACTCCCACAGCTCCTCCAGCAGCCTCCTTGCTCCTCAGAGCCAACATCAGAGACTAACCCTAACCCATACTTTTATTTGCTACTGCAGTGACAGAATTTTTCATGGAAGCAACAAAGTTAGGGAGTTAGCTTACAATATGTGTTGGTGAAAATGCATATGACATATGTATGTATGTCCCAGTGTGTATGTTGACATACTTTCGCTATAGGGTGTGAAGGTGACATTGAGAGACTCTGGAGACTGGCTTTGGTTGTAGGACGTCCTTACAGCCAGACAGTACTTCGTTTCATTTTTTAGCTTCAGCTTAAATGATGTTTTTGTTGATGACATGGTCCTTTTCAGTTTCTTGTTGACCCTGCACAAAGACAAGCAGTTCAAACATTTGTTAAATTGCTTTGTTCTGTCACATGTCACTTGCTAGTAAGATTATTATCACAGGTATAATGGTATCCAAATTGCAGTACAAAAATTCTAGTGTCTGAGGTTATTTTTTAATCATGTGAACATTGAACTGTTCAGGACACCTCTTGATCTAAATTACACACATACAGTGCCTTGCAAAAGTATTCATACCCCTTGAACTTTTCCACATTTTGTCACATTACAACCACAAACTTAAATGTATTTATTAGGATTCTATGTGATAGACTAACACAAAGTATCACATAATTGTGAAGTGGAAGGAAAATGTTATGTGGTGTTCAAAATCTTTTACCAAAAAAAAAAAAAAAAAAAAAAAAAATCTGAAAAGTGTGGCGTGCATATGTATTCAACCCCCCTGAGTCAATACTTTGTCGAACCACCTTTCAGAACCAACCTGTTAGTATCAATGTCTCAAAAATGTAATCTCATTTTCAAATTGCTCAACATTCCAAATAACATGAGGATAATCAGAATCCGCTTTACGGACACATGGGGAATTTGACTCTGGTACTTCAGCTCTCAATGTGCGAACAGTAAACCAGCATAAGGCTGTGTAATATAACAAAATAGCAGTATTAACATCAACAAACAGTGCAAACAATGCAGACAACAAAGGAATGTTCATTGAAATGAGATAAATAAGGATAAAACAGAGTACTTAAAATTAGAGACCTGTACAAGTCTGTATAATCTGTACAAGGTATATTTACAGGTATTGCATGAAGGGTTATTGTCCAATCATACTGTCGTGGGTTAAGTGTTCATCAGAGTGATGGCCTGAGGGAAGAAACCGTCCCTGTGCCTGGTTGTCTTGGTGCACAGTGACCTGTAACGCCATCCAGAGGAGAGGAGATCCAACAGATTGTGTCCAGGGTGTGAGGGGTCTGCAGTGATCCTCTCTGCCCTCCTTTTGACCCGTGAGGTGTACAGGTCCTCCATGGAGGGCACGCTCACACCAGTGACCTTTTCTGCAGTCCTGACTGTCTGCTGAAGTCTGTACTTGTCCTGTTTGGATGCTGAGCCAAACCAGACAGTGATGGAGGTGCAGAGGACAGACTCGATAAAATCCTCTATAGAACTGTATCAGCAGCTCCTGGGGCAGGTCGAACTTCCTGAGCTGGTGCAGGAAGTACATCCTCTGCTGTGCCTTCTTGGTGATGGTCCTGATGTTGGACGTCCACTTCAGGTCCTGGGAGATAGTGGAGCCCAGGAACTTGTAGGTCTTTACTGCTGATACAGTGTTGCCAAGTATGGTAAGTGTTACGGGGTAAGGGGGAGGGGGGCTCTTCCTGAAGTCCACTGTCATCTCCACTGTTTTGAGCATGTTCAGCTCCAGGTTGTTGCGGCTACACCACAGGTCCAGCTGCAGGCTGACTCGTCATTGTCTCGGATGAGACCAATGACCGTTGTGTCATTTGCAAACTTTAGGAGCTTGACAGAGGGGTCCTTCGAGATGCAGTCGTTGGTGTACAGTGAAAACAGCAGAGGGGAGAGCACACATCCCTGGGGGGCACCTGTGCTTACTGTCCGGGTGCTGGATGTGGTTTTCCCCAGCCTCACTTGCTGCTTCCTGCCTGTCAGAAAGCCAGTAATCCCCCAGTGAGCTGGGTCAGTTTGGAGTAGAGGGTGTCTGGGATGATGGTGTTGAATGCTGAGCTGAAGTCCACAAAGAGGGCCCCGGCCTGTGCATAGGTCCAGTCGAGGTGTTGTAGGATGTAATGCAGTACCATGTTCACTGCATCGTCCACTGACCTGTTTGCCTGGTAGGCAGACTGCAGGGGGTCCAGCAGGGGGTCAACAATGTCATTCAGGTGGACCAGCACCAGTCTTTCAAAGCACTTCATAACTACAGATGTCAGGGCGACAGTTCTGTAGTCGTTCAGTCCACTGATGGGGGTTTTCTTGGGGACTGGAATGATGGTGGAGCGTTTGAAGCAGGAGTGGACTTCATACAGCTCCAGTGACCTGTTGAAGATGAATGTGAAAATGGGGGCCAGCTGATCAGCACACACTTTCAAGCAGGAGGGGGTCACACCATCTGGGCCTGGTACCTTTCTTTTAAAGTGGCCACACACATACTTTTCACAGATCATTAGAGGTGGGGGGCTGGAGGGAAGGGCGGTGGTTGTCAGGGGGCAGCTGCTGGGCCTGA